TATTAACATAATACAAGCTTCATGTTGCTGATTTGTCATTTATTTTGCAGGAGTTCACAAAAGCCTTTTACCTGAAGACCAATGACCAGATGYTGGTCGTCTACCTGGCCTCTCTGATTCGCTCAGTGGTGGCTCTGCACAACTTGATCAACAACAAGATCTCCAACCGAGACGCGGAAAAGAAGGAAGGACAGGAGAAGGAGGAAGGGAAGAAAGAGAAGAAAGACGACAAAGAGAAAAAGGACGAAAAAGACAAAGATAAGGAGAAGGCAGAAGGTGCCAAGAAAGATGAGAAGAAAAAGAAATGAGTGCTCGGYGTTTTTGTTTTTCTCAAATCACACCATCTTCATCAGGACAGTGCTCTACTTTCTGCCCCACGTCTTCTCTGTATGTGGGTCTCGGGCTAAAAGTAGGACTCTGAATGGGGAATTGTGTCATTTGAGATTTGGCYTGGTGATAACAAGTGACACTCAAAGACTTTATTATCACATAGAGATGATGATGTTTGCTCTCCAGTGTTCTGAACTGTGAGAACACGATGCTGTTTTCATAGTTTCCATGCTGCCGCTGTTGCTGATTTTGTAAGATGGAGTAAAAAAAAAAAAGTTATTGTTTCTGTATCACTCATTAAATCCGGACTATATTAAATGTTTTGTTTTTTTTTTCCAATTCTGTCCCAATTTTATCAATAAAACTTTAAAATTTGGATACATTTCTGTATAACATACAAGTTTGTTAGCACATCTGTGTAATTTTGAGTATTTACACACAAATTTATAAAGTGGATAAATTTGACAACTAAAAATGAGAAAATGAACAGTTTTATCACAGTCACAAAAAAAAAAAAACAATCCAATACACAGTGGTAATACATCACATCCTAATTTATTGTAGTAAATGGTTGAATATTAAATTAGTAGGATTGAAAACACACAGTGTATTTGTGGATTAGTTTTGTAGATTGTGACCATTTATAAAGTGGACTTAGTTTTTCCTCGTTTGGGTTTTAACTTTGCTCATAAAGAGAAAATAAAACGCATGATAAAGATTTAAAGTGAACATCATTGCTGATTTTACTGTTTTCACCAAAGTAAAAGCACTGATTGGGAATGCACTTTGAGTTTAAATGAGTGAAAAACAATACTAATTCATTTATATTTATAGTTGTAATCAGTTGAGATGACAAAATGAATTAGTTTTGCCAATTTTTGAACAAAATATATTTTTAGTATTTTAAAGGCCAATAATATTAGGGTGTTATTATTATAGTTAAAGTCAGAGCTCAGCAGCCGGGCAGAGGAACTTTTATTTTGTTAACTGCGTCACTCAGCAGCCTCTCCTCGTCTCGCGCTGCTGCTGCTKCCTCCTGTCGAACCGAGCTGGGCTGACTGGGTCTGGGGTTTGTGTGGGAGGAATCAGATGATTGGGCAGGTAAACGGGATTCCGACGTAAAGGGTTTAAAAGTGCGCAGCTCGGGTCGGAACCACAGAAGAAGAAGAAGAAGAAGCAGCACCAGCCTCCCGGTGACCCAGCCCAGCCGAACATGACTCTTCGGATGAATCTCTGCTGAGACAAAAACGGACCGGAAACATGGCTTCGTTTCTGCAGGTTTGTGATGAACTTGTCAGGGTGTGGTTATGAGCCGCCTCGGYTTCTGTAGGCCTTTTTTATTTCATCTTTTATTAAGCTGTGGTCTGTGAGACATCACGCTGTGGTCTGTGCGGATGTAAACAAACAAACAGGTGGTTCTTCTTTCTGTTCTGACCGATCATGCTGCTTGTTCTCCTCCTTCCTTGTCCCAGATCTCTGATGATGAGAAGGGACACGACCTGGATCTCTTCTGTATTCCCAGACATTATGAGAGCGATTTGGACAAAGTGATCATCCCGCATGGCCTCATCATGGACAGGTGAACACAATCAGCAGCTTCTATAKTCCAATTCAGAGCAAAGGTCATCTTATTTAAAACAATCATAAAACATTTATAAATATTACAAAACACCAATCTTTAATCCTGAGCAGCACAGTGGTGACAGTGAAAAGAAACGACTCAGAAGGAACTGCACAGTCTCTAGAAGCTAAAACTAGCAAACACTAGCAAGTCTAAAAGGGGCAAARCACTAGCTAAAAGATAAAAATGCAAAATGCTAGTAAAAGGCCAAAAGTAGGAGACCAATAGCTAAAGCAGAATGCTAGTTAAAGGCTAGAAGTTGCTTGCTAAAAGCAGCGGAACACCAGCTAAAGCTGAAAAGGAGTAAAAAAAAAAAGCAAAATGCTAGCTAAAAGTCCAAATTTAAAAAGTAGCTAAAGGCTTGAAGTGGCAAATGTTTGCTACAAAGGGCAGAACATGGAGCTGAAACTACAAAGGAAAACATAAAAAAGCAAAATGCTAGCTAAAAGTCCAAAGTAAGAAAAAGGCAGATGAAAGCAGCAAAACAATAGCTTTGCTAATTAACGTTGTTTTCTGTATTTGTTATAACACTCGTCTAACAACAGTCTGCATATATTTGTTTAGGAAATGTACAGTTGTTATTTTTTTTTAGTGACTTCACTCTTAAGAAGAAACAGCATCTCAAAACTAAATATTTTGACAATGTTCCCATTTTTTTCTATGCATTCCTCGTCCAGTCAGTGTWCCTTATTTTCAAAAGCTGAAACGTTGGCAAAAACAAGATGGAAGGTGTTTCATCTGGTTAACTTGGTGAAAAACTTTAATTTGCTCTATAAACATTAATTGGTGCTAATAGCAGTTAGCACCATTAATTATTATTATTATTATTATTATTATTATTATTATTATGTGCCTTTTTTTGTCTTGTCACTTTACATAATCTCTGCTGTGGCTTTAACATCTCGACATGTTACAGCAGGAGAAGCATTATTTCTGGTTTAAAGTCCTCAGAGGAAAAATTCTGTTCTGTTGCAACAAGTCAGAACATGAGGCGTTAAGCAGCTCGATTGTTGTGGTTTGTCGCTTCATGCAGAGCATTTGAATTAAAATAGATGCGTTAAGATGCTGGGCAGTCCCTTCAGTTTCTGAGGTCTCTCCTGTTGGCCGCAGGACGGAGCGTCTGGCCCGTGACATAATCCGGGACATGGGAGGACACCACATCGTGGCTCTGTGTGTGCTAAAAGGGGGCTACAAGTTCTTCGCAGACCTCCTGGACTACATTAAAGTGCTCAACCACAACAGCGATAAATCCGTCCCGTTGACGGTGGATTTCATTAGAGCAAAGAGCTACTGTGTGAGCTGCCTCTCTCATTACATTTCTGGGGGGGGGGTTCACTTGTGCTGACGGCGGGCGTGTGTCGCACTCTGGAAAATTACCAACAAGAACAATCAAGTATAAAATCAGACTGCAGTGTGTGCAAAGTGCCAGWAGTGCTGAAGGGAAAGGKTTTTGTTTTTTGTGTGTTTTCAGAACGATAAGTCGACAAACAGCGTCAAAGTCATAGGTGGGGATGAATTATCCAACCTCGCGGGCAAGGTTAGTTTTCTGGAGTCTGTCAGCTGAAATTATTACACTTTAATTAATGAAGGTGTGCTTCTTTAACGGCTCCTTTATATCCATTTCAGAATGTTTTAATTGTCGAGGTAGGAGACTTTCATTCTGCTTTTTAAACCATTGTTTAAATGTGATCGTGTGTGACAAAGTGCACCTTGTTGATTTGCATTTGGAAATTCAAAACGGATGAATTCTCTCTGTGTCCACTCCCATTAAAAAAAAAAAAAAGCTGGACGTGAGCGTCATAAATGTCAGTTCTTACAAATGTCTCTCTCCGTTTATGTGACCGTGGCCACTTCCTGCTGCGATGGAAGGATATCGTGGAGACGGGGAGGACGATGCAGACGTTGCTCTCTCTGCTGAGTGAATGCAATCCCAAGATGGTTAAAGTTGTGAGGTGAGGCAGTTTACAGTGCAGTAACAGTACAGTGGTATATCCTGAGACAGAGTGTGCTCTTAGCTAATGGACACTTTTCCTTTAGGACTGAATTAGAGATGTAATGTGACAGAGGGAGGGAACAGCTTAAGAGTTAATCTGCCGCACTATAAACTGCACTGCGGAGGTAGAGCTCTTTCCTCTTATGTATTCCTGTTAGCTGGGTAAAATGGAACCAGTACAGTTTTTTTTTTATTTAAAAAAGATAATAGCACATCTTAGTCACTTAGAGATGTGCTTATGAAAACAGAGCTCGTTCACCCAACGCATTAAACGTTTTAGCTATTTTTGTACCAAGGCTTTCAGCTGTAGTTCCTGTTGCTCTTAAGGTTTTGAAATATTTAACACTTTACATGTCTTGCTGCGTCTTAATATAAAGCTACAGAAGCATGGTAAAATGCTCCTTTCTTCTTTTACTGGGTAATTATTAGCCTTTATTCTGACTTGTGCGTTAAGCTCAGAGATTTTGCGGTTCTTCTGTGGTGCAGCGGGATCACATTTAATCTGTCACATTTAAAACCTGCACTGAAAAGGTCGCAGCTCTTTGTCCCCTCACATGTATTCCTCTCCAAATCTCTTCTCAGCCTTTTAGTGAAGAGGACCCCGAGGAGTTCAGGGTACAGACCGGACTGTGAGTGCAGTTTTTATGTCTGTGTGATGATATACAGTTCGTTTCTGTTACGTTTTTAATTTGTTAAATTTGATCTAAATAAACATTGCATTGTTCAGCTCATTCAGGACATGGGTGTTATGAGCTTTTTTGTAAATTTTATACTTTTCTAAATGTATTGTTTGCAAATATTTGGCCCATGGAAAGACTTCACAAAATGTTCTCCTTGAAATGCTTAAAACAGAATAGTTGCGCTTTTTTTGTTTTGTTGTACTTTTTAGTTTTTAGCAAGCTTTTTGCTATTTTATGCTACTGTTGAGCTACTTTTTATTTTGCACTTCTTTGCTATGATTAGCTTGTAGCTAACATTCTGCTACATTATATATACATTCAATACATACTGTTACTTTTTGTAGCTTTTAGCTACTTTTGTACTTTTTATTTTAGCCATCATTTTGCTAATTTTATTCAACTTTTTGTTACTTTTTTGCTATTTTTAGCTTGCATTTTAAAGTTTCTAACTACTGTTTGTAGCTTGAAAGCATTTTGCTATGTTTTTGCTTTATCTTGCCTTTTTCTACTGTTAGTTTCTAGCCATTATTGTCTAGCTATTATTTAGCTTTTTGTTTCTGTTGTTACTTTTAGTCCCCATTTTGTTACTTTTCACCAACTTTTTACATTTTGCTAACTTTGGCTTGCCATTTCTGTTTCTAGCTACTGTTTTGTTGCCTTTAGCATTTTGCTACTTTTTTTGCTTTTAGCTAGCCTTTTCCTATGCTACATTTTAGCTTTTAGCATTTTACTTTGCTTTTTTTTACCTAGTCTTGTTTTACTTAGTTATTAGCCATTATTTGCTATTTTCTAGCTACTGTTTTGCAATGTTTAGCTTTTATCTACTGTTGTCATTTTCAGGTCTTATTTTGCTACTTTTAGCCAAYCTTTTTTGTTGCTTTTAGCAAGAATTTTGCTATTTATAGCTTGCCATTTTAGTTTCTAGCTCCTGGTTGGCTGCTTTTAGCATTTTTCTATTATTTAGCTTTTAGCTAGCCTTTTTCTATTCTTAGCTTCTAGCCACTGTTTGCCTACTAATAGCTYGTGTTTTTTCTTTTAGTTTTAACAACGTAGTTTCAGATTCTTCAGTGAAGTCCTTCAGCGTTCACACAGTAAATATTAAATAAAATCTAGAATAAACCAAATGCATTAATGCAGGCCTGAGCCTTATGCAGTGTCTGATTATGTAAAGCTTTTAGGTTTGAGTTGGATAATCTCTTCAAGACTGGCGCTCAAGAACAGCTGCCACTGTAAGCGTTTTGACTTTGCACTAATGCAGAGCTGACAGTTTAATCACAGCCTCGCAGAAACTGGAAAAGACCAATAAGTGTTGCTTCACTACAGAGCCCATTAGACTAAATGTCTGATCGTTTTCCCCTCTGCTGTAGCGTGCTTTCTTTAAATAACTCCCATTGATGGTGTCTAAATTTATTTCAGACATTGGCTTCGAGGTTCCAGATGCCTTTCTGGTGGGCTATGCTTTGGACTACAACGAGTACTTCAGAGATCTCAGTGTAAGTGGGTTTAAAATTTATTATGATCACTAGATGCATGTAAACACACAGGTGAAACATTCAGTGGTGAGTGATAAACAGATGCTACCTCAGGGATGCACCTGCTGGTTTAACACACGTTATAAGGTTACTGACTGGTCAGGATGGTGGCATGTTTGGGATTAATGATTTAAAATAATAATTTAAAATCAAATCACACTGATGCTAATTCAAAGTAAGTGTTTATTCTGGTGAAACTATAGCTGCTCAAAAACAATTTCACAAAAACCACAACTTGATTAAAACATCCTTACAGTGTTTCACTGAAGTCCATGTTAAAATATTTCGGTAGGCCGTCTTGTCCCAGTTTTATCTAAATAAATCCCAATAGTTATGATGGTGTGGAAAATAACAGCATGCTTTTATTAAAGGCTGCGTCTGCAAAGAATTGCGATCAAAAATGGCTGACCAATCTCTAGTGGAGATACAGAAATAAAGGAAGTGTCAAAACTTCTGTTTTCAGCTTTTAACAAATTATGCAATCCTTACATTTTTACCACGACACTTCGGGGTCATTTCACTCTGTTAGAAACTTTCCAAAGCTCAAGAAAATAAAGTAATTTATTCAGCGAATCCTAACCAATACTTAGACAAGAAGATGAACTTGAAACCTGATTGGATAAAATACCTCTCTTTAAAGTTAATATCTAATTAAATGTTGATTATGAGGAGCTTATTGAATTAAATACATTATTTGGAATTATTTTATTAAAGTTAAGTGGCTTTGGTCTTAATCTGCAGAAAGTTAAAGTCGTCCGTTTTGTTTTTTGTGCTTCTTTGGGGCAATCTGCTGAAACTTTGACGTCCTTTCAGTCTGTAATTTCACTGAGGCTGCAGAGCAGAACGAAGCTGCAGTTCTAGAAGGTGGAACTGAAAAATGACAGATTTATTGGTCAGACAGCAGAAAAACTGCAACTGGTCAAGTGTTTTGGAATGAAAACGCAAGAAAGCAAATTTATGGCATCTGTTAAGCTGTCAAATACTCTCTGACCTTTTTTTAATGTTTCAGAATCAAAGACTGATTGGTTTATAGTTTCCTTGTTTTTAATATAATTAAGTGACGGATGAAGACCTGTGATAGCTGCAGCTCTCGCAAAAGCATCCACTGGCTCTTAATGAAATCTTATTAATTCAGAAATTGTGATGTTTTGATGACAGACATGCATCAGGCATTAATCCATTTTCTTCTTGTGCATTTATTTTTCACAGCACATCTGTATACTGAATGAAGAAGCCAAGGAGAAGTACAAAATGTGAGCGTTCAAAGCGTCGCAGAGGGGATGTCTGACTCACTGAAGACTTGGACCACTGTGACCAACCACCTTTTTTTAGTTTTWGTTTTTCTTTCTGCGTTTGCAACCTTATTTATTTTTTCTAAATGAGAATCCACAAAAAGCAACTTGTGGGTTGTAACAAACGTCAAGAAGAACATTTATTTTCCTCGATGAATAAGTGGGAATAATCATGTAAATGAGGAATATTTTTGGTTAAATTTTAAAAGTTTATTTAAATTGTGTTTAGCTGTAAATTAATTTTTTGACCATGGGGAAGAATGTTTTAAAAGTCTCATGTCTCAAAACTTTATACTCTCCTTCAATTTAGTTTTGGATTCCTCTGATATCATAAATTTAATTCTAAGAAACTTGAAAAGTTAATACTTCACGTTTTCTTTATGAACCTGTTTACAGCAATATAAATCCACCTTAAACCTTGAATTTTGTGTTTTTTTTTATTGCATTTATTTAGTTTTCCCTAAAGAAGGTGTCTTAACATAATGTGATGATATGACCCTGCTAAATCAGGCTCACCACAAAAATATATTTTTAAAATGATTGGCATTTATACAATAACTATTGTGGCTGGTCTTTCTATTTCATTCTTAATGGATGAATATTACTTTTAAGTAGATTGGTCTAATTCATACATGAGTACAAACGTACAATTCACYCAAATTTAAATTCCATTGTAAGTCATTAGCATTTGTGCTTTCGTCTCTTTATATTTTATTTGTTTTGGTGGGGGTGGGGGGGGGGTCAATGTCCTCAATGATTTCTTTTTTTACATGTCTGTTCTCTGTCTGTATGCAATCGTAACAGTTTTTGTGTTGTGTTTATTTTGCATCCAAATGATTTNGTCCTCAATGATTTCTTTTTTTACATGTCTGTTCTCTGTCTGTATGCAATCGTAACAGTTTTTGTGTTGTGTTTATTTTGCATCCAAATGATTTTGTCAGTATGTTTGCATATTGATATTTAATTTCTTGTAATTTTGTATGTTCTTTTTTAAAAAGGTTTAGTTTGCATTTGTTTTGTGTCACATATTTTCTTTTGGCTGTGGATTCGTTTTTATTTTGTTTTGTGTTGATTTTCCGTTTTGTGTGTCTTTTACGTTTCTTCAATGTATATATCATCCTGTCAGTCTTCTTCACAAAACCACAGCAGTCACAGACAGAACCYATTTCCTGAGAGAATTAAGCTCGATTTGATTGGCTCGGTCATTGGTACAAAGCGGAAGCAACGCTCTGCCGTGATTGGTTGTTTTAGTTCGACCCTGCTGCGGATTGACTGTTGAGAAGACGGGCGGTTGGATCATCCAATCAGCTTGTCGTTACGCAGAGGAAGTGAAGTAAGGGGCGTTGATTTAATAGGACGCATGCGGAACTCGCAGTTTTGCGGAAATCCATTCTTTTTATTACCAAAACATTAACTTATGTCTTTCGTGTACTTTCACAGTACAGCAAATAACATAAATATGACGACTGTGGGAAGCTAGTTCAACTCACCTTTTTAAGTTGTGGTTTTTCGATACACGAAGTTTGCCGACAACGTTTGTCGTCGCGACTTTTTCATTTTATTGGTTTACATTCTTGTAAGTATTCTCATTTTGATTATCCAAACTCGTTGTCAAGTTTTATAACTTTAAATTGTTTCCGTAATTTTGCAGATAGAAACCTGTCGACAATGCAGTCAAAAGAAGAGGCTATAGCCATTTTAAAGCAGTTTGATGTTGGAGACAAGTTCTCCTATCTTCCTGTTCTGCCTAAAGCCTCAGTGTTGATCCCACTGTTCGTGAGGAATGGAAAGCTGCACACAATAATGACCCTGCGTTCAAAAAAGGTAATCTCATCTAAAAAGCACGTCTTTGGTGGAATGTTGTTATATTTAACTCCATTTCATGCATGACTTTTGTGCAGCTGAGGACCAGTGCYGGTGAGGTGTGTTTCCCGGGTGGGAAGCGAGACCCCAGTGACCAGGATGATGTGGACACAGCCCTGAGAGAAGCAGAGGAGGAGATTGGTCTGAAGCCTGATGATGTTCAGGTGGTCTGCACACTGTTTCCAATCATCAATAAGGTAGAACAAACAAACAAAAGTCTGTCAGAAACCTTTGCTGCAGCGGGTCAACCTTTTTGCTACACCCTCTTTAATCAGGACGGCCTGTTGGTGACCCCAGTCGTCGGCTTCATCAGTGAGACATTCCAACCGGTCCTAAACCCTGCTGAAGTCAGCGCTGTGTTCTCAGTCCCACTGGACTTCTTCACCAGCGACAAGGACCACTATGCAGCCCACAGTACACCAGGGATGATGGGGCCTTTGCACTCGTTTCATTTTGTCGACCCGGTTTCAGGCAGCCGGTATCATATATGGGGGCTGACGGCCATGCTGGCCGTTGTAGTCGCCGTCATTGCTCTGAAGAGAAAACCTGAGTTTGATGTTGGCTTTGATTCTGAGGATCCTTTATCATTTTTCCAACACATTCTGCACACAAGACTGAGTAAACTATGACTACTAAAAACTTTCAACCAGAATGCATTATGAACTTATATTTGTTTTAAATGAAGCTGTTTTGCACACTTGTTTCTACTAACGAACATCAGATATTAAAAACTGGAATGTTAAGGGAAAAAAGATACCCATCCACGTTTACATTTTTATTAATTCTTTTAATGTAGCAGCAGGATTACAGATATAAACAGAAGAGTATACAAATGTCCAGACAAAGGCAAAGTACATGTTAATAATAGTTCAAATGTATAACACGGGGTTGACCTTTTGTCCCTTCTGCAGGGTCTTAAGGCTAAATACTAAAGCTCAAGCTACACAAAACTGATACAACAGAACTGTAGGTGGATGTAGAGTTAAAAGCAAACTGGTTATGCACGAGAGACGGCTCACACTATTGGCAATAAACAGGGAATTCATCACGGCTGCCCCTTTTCATCAAGCGTTTCACAGCAACAGAAATGTCGACAAGCACATGAACACAACGCTCTCCAGAAAAACAATCGCTGTGTCACGTCCCTTTTACCTCACATGTACAAATCTCATGAGGCGTGAAAAACAGTATCTATAGAAAACTACAAACACGGTGACGGTTCACCGATGAAGCTGTGCAGTATGAGTAAATTCTGATATCCTGCAATCAATGTGGGGGGATCAAAAGAAATCTCAGTATGAGCTAGGTTTGTGTCCAGGAACCTCGAAGAAACGATTAGGAATCACGAGGATAAAAAAGGACAAGGAGCGATGACACAAAGAGGACACCAGTAAACACAGCAGAGCAACAGTTAGGTTATCAAGGCACACAAAGTTCTGTTGAAAGCATCACAATTTAAATTCAAAATACCCCTGCAGTATATTTCACATTTAAATATACATGGATATTCATTTACATGACCGGAGGACAAAAACATTATGTTGAGATTTGTGTGCTCTTCTCACCACCGCTAAATCAATATTTACCAAGATTTTATTTTATTTTTTTCCGAGTGGAAATAATTAAAAGACTGACTATACCGGATCACTCAGAGTAAAAAYGGGCTGGACTTGAGTTTACGCCACAATCCAAGACAAAAACAAGATGAGTGTACAGACCCACCCTCTTATCCCCTCTGCCTCAAAATATACGATCTCTGAAACTGTAATTGGTCCGATGTCAGATGTAGACCAAGCCACATGTCCACACCATGAGGTAAAATTTACATTCATGAGAGCGAAGTCACAGGTTGGCTTTCTGTGTCGGTATGGCTTACAGAGGCGTAACTTTATTTTTCTTCTAGTTCTTCCACATTATGTGCTCTTTATCTCCCCAGAAAAGAGGAATGGAATGCTTGGAAAACGGCACGACTGCACTCTAACCTGATCTACAGTAAATGGATGAGTCAAAGTGCCATTTGAGAAGCATGACATTAAAATAAAAACAAAACAAAAAAGACACACACACACACACAAAAAAAGAAAGCTTAGCCACACGTTATGTTCCACAGTTTGGATAAAATCTGTCACAATAAAACTCAGTTCTAACATATTAGTTTGATGTCCGTCGAAATACGTTTCTAACTTCAGTCAAACTCTTCACAGTAAACCTGCTCTTCATCTCAAGAAGAAAACAAAACAAAAAACCCACTGCAACAATGATATCTGTGCTATGAGCAAAGACAACAAAACAAGCTTAGTTTTTACAAAAATACTCTACAACTTTGATACATGGTTACAAAATTTTAAAAAAGATAAGTTACTTTAAAATGGATCAACGACTGCAGGACGAGAGCATGACCATGAACATGTAAACAAATGCATTTGACCAAAACTACTCTTTAATATTGGAACTCTTCTCCAAAAACTGGCTTTTTAAGGAGGCCAAATTGGCTACTGTTGAATGAGGAAAGCCCAGCAAAGTCATTCTGAATGAAAAATAGCGTACGTATCAAATCAATGGAAAGATRAAAAATTTATGGAWGGAACAAAAAAGAAAAAAAAAGTAYCTTTATGACTTCTATAAATCTGGTGAAATACACTAAATCACTGTGAGAGCTGCATGCGTTAGTAAAACTGAGTAAACATTAGAAAGGTATTTGCAAAGGACAAGATGGCAACTAATCACAACCTGGGTGCACTCCAGTCTGACCCCACAACACAAAAACCTCTGCAAACTTCAAAGTAAAGCCAGCGCTCTATAAATTCTGTCCTAACATCACAGCAGAGGAGCCTTACTCCTGCACATAGCACCATAGATCAAATCAAAAATGATTGCCTCTGTAACAGACTGKTTTTTTTCTTTAATGGTGACACAAGTAATGGGACTTCATTTGGTGCCAACCTGCACAGATTACCACCACTGGGACGAAAACTATAAGACGAGCAGCTTTCTCCAGAAATGGATTGAACAGGAATTGGTACAAGGAAATAAATATCCTTCATTTAAGGTTTAGATGTCTAGTTTAAAACAAACAAAAGCGCAAATAAAGGCTCACTCAACCACTTAAAACACTGAAAAAAAAAAGACAATGCTTTTGTGGGAATGGCTGTTTTTGGACAGGCTCGACTGGACCACTGAGACTGAATACAAAGAGGGGTTCAAACTGTGAGCTCACGCGTTCTATACAAAGTCTAGGCATAAAAAAATTCTCACGTGACAAAATGTAAAAATGTTCGAGTACAATGTATTTATCGTTACAAAGATAACCGATTTCCATTTTTTTTCCTTTGTATGTTCCTTGTGTATTTGTCTTTTTGTTAAGTACTGGATGTCTCTGTACAAATTCAACCAGTTTGTTGCAGAGCTGTGGACGGATATAAGGAGTAGCAGGTTACACAAAAAGAGGTTATAAAGTGCTTGAGATAAAATGTTTATAAAACCACACGAAACTCTAGTTTTCACCAGTGGAAAGCGTCTTTTTATCCACAAAGAATTGGTAAAAGTTACCAACTTGTTAAAAAAAAAAGCTGAGCATGACACGTAAATAAATGCTATTAAAAAGTTCACCAAGAAAGCTTTTGTAAACCCAGTAATGAGGCCTAAAAAAAACACAAAAACACTACGAGGTGCCAAAACAAAGCCAAGCCACACTATTCACCAGGTTGAACCTCATTTGCGACTGTGTAATATTCCTTAATATCAGCAGATTATTTCCATGACACGGTGGTGAGAATTATTTGATTTTTCTTTTCCAGGAGTAGAGCTGATAGCTTTGTTTAACTTTCCTCCCTCTGAGAGAGACTTCCAAGTGCAGACTACCAGCAAATATTTCTATAAAACAACCTCACATTATTCTACAAAGAATTCTGTATTTTACGTCATCTGTACTCGTAGAGTAGATTTTACAATAGTTCTTCACAAGCAAATAGCAAATGATTAACTGCAAAATGAAGAAATTCTCTATGGGCAAAACACATTTAAATCAAGTGGTTGTGATTTTCACCTGTTTCAATGCAAAGTAATCCTAATTTCCCMGTTTCCGCTGTCGCTTCACGATACAAAATGACAATGACCTGACTCACAGATTAGCGTCTGAATGTGAAACTTTGGGAGTTTACACACTCAAAATGAGATTCAGCCTTTAACTTACACAACTGTGCAATCTGATTCAACCCACACCTGCATCCAGCCAGACGTTCTTCACTCCACCAAACCCGACATGTTTATTTCCTCCTCTCTTAGGCTCACATTTTTAAAAGAACACTGATAACAAAACACTTTTTTTTCCAGATTAAAGTTAACACTCTTTGATCTTGCTAGAGGGACAATTAAAATAAACAATAAAAGAAGCTTAAAATGCATTAATGATAAATATACAAAAAATGTTACAGAAGCTAATAATTTGGGTTCTAAAAGGGAATTTCTTTCTTAAATATTTAACTTTTTTTTTCTCTTCAAGGTTGATGGCATTGCCACAAACACCAACACTTTGTGTTTGCTGATTTTACAAAGCACAACTTTCAGCTACATATCAGCGAGCCGCCTCTGGCCTCATATCTTCCATTTCTCACTGCTTYTGTAAGCTCTCCAGCAGGTCTTCAAATTTATCCATGCTTGATGTAGAGGCTATAGACGCCTGCATCTGATTCTGTAAGCTGCTCTGCATCTGTGTCTGTAAGCCGGTCTGCATGGGAGTTGGCAGACTCGTCTCTAAGGACACCTGTAAACCCGACTGCGCGGCTGTTTGTGTGTTTGACTGCAACGCGTTCTCTAGGCTGGTTTGCATTTGCGCCTGAAGGGTGTTTTGCAAGTTGCTGTGCACGCTGGAGGCAGCCTGGGCCATGGGCTGATCCAACACAGGCTGCAGGTGACCAGAGCTCTGGCTCTGACTCTGGGCAGGCAGGCTTGGTCCAGAAGAACTGAGCAGCTGGGATGAGTCTGGGAGGAAGTGAAGAGAGAAAAGTTAGCTGTAAATAAAGAGGTAATTCAAACAAACGCAGTATAAAAGCAGCTTGGGACAGATTTTCACCCATGCAAACTAGTAGGTAGGATGTGAATATTCTATCAAGTTCTCAAAATTCAGTCCAGCTAACACAATCCTACTAAAACTACCATTTAGACATTGGGCAGTGATTTATTTTATTCCCATTTTCTTCATCAGAACAGCTGTGGTTCTCTGCAGCAATCCATGAATGATGACTGCAGATCGTCTGAGACCATCGACAAGTATGAGCTTTTTTTCAAAACCGTAGTTTTACTGTCTCGGTGTGRTTAGACCAGCAGAATCATTCATATCAAAGCTGAACATTTGCAAGCTACTGTTTATAAAATAACACACAGCAGCACATTTTTTGGTTGAGAAAACAATGGCTAAATAAATACGTAAATAAATAAATAAATAGTCTGATGGAAAGGGGATGTGGTGTAACAAAATCGCACAGTGAACACACAGTGAACACACAGTGAACACAGTGAACCACCGGGGAAATGTTTGAGGTTGAAGATGTTTTTACAAGAGGAAAATTTGCTCTGTTGTGGTCCAGATTCTGAGAAGCTATTTATAAACCGTTTTCTTCTCATAAATGCTCACGCTCTCTCCRCTGCTAACAAAGTACACGAGCTCGCTTTAAAACAACCTAAATCAACCATCAGGATGTGAATGAGACTAAAATAATCTCACCATTCTGGATGCCAAAAAGAAACAGGTTGGGCTGTCCTTGTGGAGCTACAGGACCACCCACTGCGGTCTGGAACARCTGCTCTGGGGGCTGCTGGCCTGGGTTGGCAACCACACCCATGCCACCTTGAACCACAAAAATGGTGGCAGCGGGGGCGGAGGCCTTGGCGTTCAGCTCCTGTGAGCCGATGGTGCCCTGCAGGCCGGACAGCGACGTCTGTGGGATGAACAGCTTCACAGACTGGCTGCCGGGGACCTGGTTGGGACTCGGGGTCACTTGCATCGGYTGCTGCTCCTGGAATAAGCTCTGCTGTTGGTTTGCAGGGGAGGACGAGTTGCTGCCCGAGGAGCTCTGGACTTGAAAGGACATGGGCTCTGTGGAGTCTGGCTGGGAGAGTCCAACACTGATGCTGGCTATAGGGGCCGGACCTGGGGTCTGGGTGCTGAAGAGGATAGCTTGTGGATTAAGATCTGTCGTGCAGAGGAGCAGGCCTGTCTGTTGAGGCTGTGAGATGGGGTTGTGGGGAACAGGGGTGGTCTGGGAGTGGTTGGGTATGGTTTGGAACAGGGAGCTCTGCTGGCTCATTGGAATCTGCTGCGGTTGCTGCTGGGTTTGCTGTGGAGACTGCTGCTGCTCCATTGGGGTGCTCTGTGGCTGCATCTGGGACAGCTGAGCTTGGGGCTGGTTCTGAAACATTGAAACGGACTGAGGCTGGCTGTTGGACGTCTCCATGGACGAGATGAATGCCAGCTGAGGCTGCTGCTGCTGCTGCTGCTGAGGCTGAGGGTTGGTGGACAGATAAATAGCCGAGGCTGTGGAGGGCGGCTCTGAGCTGAGACTCCCAGCCGTGAGAACACTCAGTGTGTTCTGGAGCAGGGCRGCCTGGACCTGCTGCTGAGTCCCCTGGGCCTCAGCCAGAGGCCTGGGGGACTGGAAGAGTTGTTGTGGAGGAGATGTGTGGGACGGAGGCTGCGTTGGAAAGCTGGTCTGGATGGTGAGCAGCTCCCCGGCCTGCTGCAGGAGGGAGACGGGCTGCTGTGTCTGGGCAGAGGAGTGGATCTGTGGCAGGAGCAGCTCCGCCTGGAGGCGCTGCTGCAGGTTCTCCAAGACCTGCTGCTCCTGCAGCTGCTGCTGCTGTAGTTGATGCTCTTGTAAATTAGCAAGGATTTGATTCTGTTGTTGCTGATCCTGAAGCTGAATGTTGTTAAGGACTTGTTGCTGATTTTGTTGCAGCTGCTGCTGTGTGATRTTCTCCATGATCTGCTGTTGATCTTGTGGCTGTAATATAAGTTGTTGTTGGATCTGCATGTTGCTGAGAACTTGCTGCTGCTGCTGCTGTTGTTGTTGAAGGTTTTCAAGGATTTGTTGTTGTTGTTGCTGCAGCTGATGTTGCTGAAACTGCTGCTGCATTTGTTGCTGCTGCTGTATCTGTAACTGCTGCCGCGCTGAGAGTGAATTTTCTGTGGTTCCCAGCCGAAGGCTGTTCATGTTCTCCTGAACGTGTTGCTGTAAGGTGTCTGCAGAAGGTGTGGGGCTATAGAGTACAGAGTTCAGCTGCTGCTGGGCTACAGCTGCTTCCAGCACCTGCTGCAGTGTGGGGTTACTTCCAGCCTGGAGCTCTCTTACTGCCCTCTCAAGTTGCGCCACTCCTTCCTGAGGAAACAGGGGAACCTGGGACTGCTGTGGCTGCGGTTGAGACGGAGCTCCGATTTGAGGCATGGCTACAACCACGATGCTTCCACTATTATCAGAGCTTTCAGGAGACAAGCTTTCTTGAGGATCTCTAAGGATTTGCTGAGGAACCTCTGGTGTTACAGGGGGGATAGTGGTATCTCCTGACACTGGGAAAGAGGTTGTGGAAGTAATCTCTTGTTTTTGTATGGCGCTGAGAGACTCTAGACTGGGGAAGACAGGAGGTGCTTGGGGAAGCTCCACATCTTCAGGCTGTAGAGACATTGGGCTCTCAAAAGACCCTCTACTTGGGTGAGGACTAGAGTTGAGCTCCAGGGTCTGCTGCACTGAGATAAGTGGGTCAGGAGATGACTAGAAGAGAGGAAGCAAAGTTATTAGTTACTGGCTCTCTGTTCATTTCTCTCTTAAATGGTGCCACATTTATAAGGAACATGCATTTGTGTGATGAGCAGTGGAGCTGAGTATGTGGGTCACGTGCATGAAAATTTGCCACATCTTCTCTGCTAAACAGCTTATTTTGCTGTTGCTACTGACACTTCTACTTCTTCTTCTCTGCAATGAAGAAATAATTTACCAAACAAATTCTCTTACCTTTTGTACTAAGTATTTATAATACAAAGTTTATTAGAAAATATCTTACTTTAAAAACGTCTGTTGGTGGAGGATTGCTAGACACTTCCATAGGTGTGTCCTCTTGGCGTTTCGAAGGCTGGCCAGGACTTTCAGTTTGCTCCGAGGACAAAGATTTGATTTGGCCATCAAATAAGCAGGTCTCCACCAAGGAGGGCCCTTCAGTTTTTATTGTCTGCACATTTGAATTTTCAGCTGGGGGGTAAAAAGCAAAACACAAGAGAGGTCAAATATATATTTATAAAAAAAACATATCAGATGTCTGGACCTGAAGGAAAATGTGTGCTCTATGACTGACTGTAGATAAACAATTATGCAGGATATTTTCTATTTGCAATAAACTTTGTCGCACAGTAAAAAAGCAACGCTCACTCTCTCGTGTATAGAATATTTTGCACGTAACGCCCTGCAACTTTCACTCTTGCTGTCATTCATCTTCTCATTTTTTACTTGGATCTCACACTTTAAATGATCACATATATATTTATTAAGTTCTCAAATATCCACGTTTTAGTCATTGTTGGGTTTCCGCCTGAGGAAATATATTTAATTAAAATGTTTCCATTGACTTGAAATGGTTTATATTAAACCTACAGCCTGGTTATTTATCATCCCTAATAAATAATTGGTTCTGAGACCGATTCCACCCTTTGCTTGGAAAATCCATATAGTCATATATATATANAAGAAAACCACTTCCCCTTTTTCATTCATCTGGCTAACCAAATCACTGCTTTTTCATTATAGATAATAGAGTATTTTCTATCTACACATTTGCAGCAGAGAGAGCGAGTGTCAGTTCGGCACATTAATCACTCAACTAGACGATTAGTTAATTTATTTATTTTAATATTTTGTGATTTCAGTTTGTCTTTTCAGCAGAAAGATACAGTACAATGCAAGTTGAATATTTCTGTCTGTGGTAGGAGCAAACTTCATTCATTATTTATCAGACAAGTTGTGTACCTGGCTCAGGAGTGTACGTGAAGGGCTGGGCCTCATGAGATTTCCCAGCATTGGTCATCACAAAAATGGCCACAGACACAGGAGACGTGATTGACTGGGTGTGGAATGGAGGGACTGTCACGACCAAATGATTCTGGAAAAGTTCACATGACATACCAGTGAAAGGCAGGCAGGTCTGATGCAGCACAGCTTTAATTTCTCAAAGACCTGATGGGCATAGATGCTTATTTGTGTTTACCTGATGAAAAAGGTCCATATCAATMTTCGCCTCAGCTTGCCAGGAATTATCATCTACAAAGTCAAAAGCAAATGTTTTTATTCTTCCATCCATCAAACATTTGAGTAAAATCAACCCCAATAATGAGACTAAACTATCTGCAGCACCTGCAGGGTTTTCCTGAAGTATAACTTTGGTTCCTTTGAGAAAGTTTTTTCCGATTATAAAAACCTCCTCTCCTCCTCTCACTGAGCAGCTGTGAAGACTCTTCTTCAGGATCTCTGGCAATCCGGCTGGCTGAGCTAGAGAGTGAATAGAATATAAAGACTGAAMATTTTAATATTTAATTCAGTGGTACGTTGATTAAATTATTTGATTTGTTAAAAAAAAAAAAACCTAACAGTTGCAAATATTTTACTTGATACAAACTTTGAATGAAGCTGCTGTTAACATTAAGTTGTTTGCAKTACTCACTGCAGAGGATGGGTGATGAGGAGACCTGTAAGGTAAGAAATGATCCATCAGGTTGGGGGATGTTGACTCTGAAGGCCAGCCTGGCCCGTGTACTCTTCTTYTTGGATCCTGCCACACCAATACGAGCCTCAACATCTGCGTTACGCAGCTTTAAAATTCCAACACAGTCAACCCTGCAGACACAAAATGCAAGAAGAAAAGAGAAAACACCACAAACGTATTAACTTCACTGCCCATGTGAAAAAGAATATMAACAAAAATATAAAATAATTTATTCTTACGCAAGTGTCATGTCACTGCTGGGCTCCAGGGGAATCTCTATAACTGTGGTTCTATCTATCTCCACCTCCTTACAAGCTGTGGTGTTGCGTCCCGTTACTCTGCAAGCCTGATAGAAACCGTGAGGCTTCACTCTACCTGCATCACTTGCCACAAACACCTGCAGCATAACTGGTTCATTAACACCTTCCAACTGCAAAGAAACAAGAATGAAAATAATTATTGGTCCTTGTGATGCAGTGAGGTTAAAAGCTTTATGAATGTAAACTAAACAGGCCCAACAAGCACTTTATCCTTTGTAAAATCTTTTTGAAGTCACTCAGAGGAAACGTTACACAYGTTACGTTTTCTGTTTTTCAAGTTTAAAACAAACTGTGGGAACCAAACCTTGATGGTGGGGAACCCTTGCTGTGTACGATCTTTAACGGAACCTCTGCTGCCCTCGGTCAGATAKCGAGCTCTGTGTTGGGTCTCTGGCTGCACCAGGATCTTTAGTTCTTTTCCATCACTCCTCTGGGGGTACTGAGCAGACAGTGACCCGCTTTTCACCGTAGCCCCTGCATCGAGAGAGCTGCAGAAAAACATAAAGTATACCATAACTAACAGAAATCCAATTACATCTGACAAAAACATCCTTTTACTCTTTTCTTACAAACAGGTTGAGGTAATAAATCAAAGTTTTAACAAGAGTTAGCCCACCTAGCCTTGTCTGTGCCCAGCTGTGATAGCACAAAATGAGGACCCTTGGCACTGTCGGCATCAAACACGTCCATGCTGTCTTCCGGAGGAGCAGGCTTGGGGCCCGGTCGCTGGCGAGGCGTGCGTTTTCTGGATTTGCGTGGCACTTCCGTGTTGTCGTTGTATGAAACCGAGCTGATCACGCTGAAGTTGGAGACAGAATCGTCYGGCCACATGCTGCTGCTGTGCTCCGAGTCTGGAACTGGTGCACCAGATACGGTGGGTTCCTCTTGGCAAGACATCTGGCTGTCGTCAAACAGGTCCTCAGGTGGCGGGGATATGCTCAGTACGGGCCTTCGTTTTGATGGGGTGTTCTGAGGCTGCTGCCCACTTAGCCCCGACAACACTCCTCCTGACCCTATGTCCCCTGCTGCGGCGTTTGCTCCACCGTTGCCTCTGCTGGGGGCAGAGCCGGCAGCCTCCATACCTTGTATTTCCGAAGCCCCAGCYCCATCCCCTCCAGCGGAGTGGAGATGCTGAACAACTGTGAGATGGTCTGAGGGTGAGGTAGGGAGGCCACTGGATGAAGGTCCCATGGCCAGGGAAGAAGCAGCAGAAGAACTGGAGGTGGAAGAGCTGGCATCTGCAGTAGTATATACAGATAAGTTAGAACAGTTGTTCAGCACAGAGTAGGCTAGCAGTCCCATTCAAGCAGCTGAATTTGTGCATGATTTGTATCGATTTCCCTTCTTCCCAACTCTAATTTCAACAGACTTTTGAGGGTTACATGCTCTCACTGTGCATGCGAGAGCATCAAGCATTGATCAAATGATCTGAAGTTAAAGTTGAGAAGGGTTTTTCTTTAGGTCCCACCTTTGTTTTGATTCCTTCAAAACCTCTCAATTAAAAAATCAATGTGACAAAACTGGCATGCTTTGTTTACAAAAACAAAAGCAAGCTACAAATTGTTACATACACATTGCCAGAAAGAAACATAACAAAATCTGGTCACACTTTCTTGTACAGCAAAATTTACAAGCTGAGAATGTGGCGCCAAATTAAAATTGCCAGAGTTACATCACAGTTTGTGCAATGTGCATTCAGTAGAAAAACAGTAGTCTGCGCATGCCAATTGGAAGATTTGGTTGGGACTGAGCGTAGCCACGGAGACAGAATAAACAAGCCTCTGACCTATGGAGCAGTGAACTGCAGACCATTTTATATGCAGACACTCCCTGCCTCAGAGGGAACTTCCTGCAATAAAAACGAGACAGCCAATGAGCAACAAGAGCTGATCATTCAAGACTTAACTTCTTTCAGTGAGTAAATTGGATGATTTAATGTACTTGAAGCAGGAGTAATGTTTGAAGTTTATCATTTATAGACATTTTAAAGCATGTGTATTTTTGTAATGGTGATCTGGAGGACAAAAAGTAGTCATGCTTTTGATCAGCACTGCTTAAGGCCAGCTGAGTCACACAGGACAATGAACTGGTAGCGTTAACAAAAGCGCTCCCTCCGACACCACTGCTGACCAGTTAGTTTGCTCTTTACATCAAAACTTAAACAAAATAAAATAAAACAAAGATCCCTCACAGTTATAGCMAATACTGGCAGCCTTGAACCATGATCCACGACCAGACCATAATATATTTCTATTTGCTAAATCAGTGYTGCTCAATCCTGGCCCCAAGGATTCATTGTGCTGCAAGTTTTAGATGCTTCCTTGCATTAGCACACCTCATTTAAAGCAACGGGTCATTAACAAGCTTGTGCTGACCTTAATGACCTTCTGAGGAGGTATTTAAGTGGTCTGACTCAGGTGTGATGGAGCAAGAACACATCTAACAATTGCAAGACAGTGGGACCTGAGGACCTGGACTGAGGTACACAATGCTCAATGACATTTAAGAATACAGTCAAGTGAATGCATAGGGGCAACTTCACAGTTTCATTTATATATAAAACCTTTTATCATTCTCAATACTGTTAACTGCTTAAAAACATGGTTATTAACCATTTAAAAGGATCTATGAGTGTTTATATGACCAAGTGCAAATTGAAAAAATGCATTGGCTGCATCTGTTTTAGAAAATAAATCATTTAAGAACAACCTGAAATTAGTACTTTATCATACAAAGCCCGAATTTAGGGCACAAAACAAAAAATTCTATAAAGAAAAGTCTGAGATGACTGGTTAAACCAAATCAAATCAGCAGGAATTTAAACTGCGTCTTTAAAGAGAAATGTCCCAGATCCATATGCTAAAATTCTGCGTGTCACAAAGCATTAACACACACATATCAAAAGTACAGCTGAAAAACATAGTTAGTGAAATGATAAAGTACAAGCTATAGCATGCTGTTAATGTAAACTTAGTATTTCATGAAACTGTTAATTGCAGACACAGATGGTTTATTATATTTCTCACACAGCAGCCAAAGACGTAAACAATCACTGCAACTATCATATGTAAATTAGTTACCAATTTTAACTTTTAAAAAACAAACCAACAAATCATTTTAGTCCATGTCTATTTTTATTAGTGTCAGTCTCACAGAGTGCACTTTAGGTGAGAATCTGCATTGAAGAAGCCTGTTGGGTGGGGACATTAGAAAGACCAAACATGGTCAGAATTAGCAATTTAACAGCTCTAATTCAACAGGTTATATGGTTTGTTTTACAGAAACCATTTGGAAAAGTTGAYGGTTTATAGCTGACCAGATAAAGCATCTGTGTAATACAAGTTAAGAAGATTAAACTTTGACTAATGAGAAAATAAATTGAATCTTACGTGGAAACTTCTGCAGATGTTCTGAACACAAACTGACAACTTAAAGCAAATTTTATCACTGCAAATCTTATGGATTTACCTTCAAGAGGTTAAACTTTTCCCGTACATCACACAAACTGCAGAAAATACAGGTAGCCACTAAAAATATAATAAAACCAACCGATAATCACTTTAAGTATCAGCAGTCTTTCCGATAAGTCTTTATTATAGTGTTATAATCTTATTTAAGCTTTTATTACTAGCACGCTGGTCGTCTTTGAAAAAATATTTCTAAATTGCCTAAGTCTTGGGTCTCAAAGAAACATCTAATCAGATTTCCAGTAGCACTAAACAGCTCTACCTTATTATTAATGGCCATAAATCAAACTTTTAAACATTATTTGAGAAACAAAACGATGACATCATGGTAACTACTTCCAGGCAGCTATTATAAAATTTATGATGTCCATTTAAAATGTAGTGGAACCATTTCATATATCTAAATAAAATATTCTAAATTTSTCAACAGCTTCAAAAAGAAAAATACTGCAATAACTCATATACTTTTGTTTAACATTTGAGGTTACCTCAGACACTGATGAAAGGGTGAAGCTGCCCCCCAGACAATCACAAAGCCATAATAGTTTGTTAGCCCCTGTTGACTTGGGGAATAGTTAGATTGCGGGGTAACTGATCCCAGATCATGGTTTTCATAGGAAGTATGAATGGCTCACCTGCAGCCAAGGCTGTGGAAGGGGGAGGTCCCGCCTCTCCCCCACTCTTCTGGCTCATGGTGGGTGGGTCTGTCTGGGTGGACGACGGCTGGAGCTGGAGCTCTTTGGGGAGGAGGTCATATACTGACTCTGCCGTGAAGGGTGAGCAGGAGAAGACGCATTAGTTTTATTACAAAACTTTGATCACATTTATTAGAGCATTACTGAAGTTCCATGTAACTGAAAAAGATCAACGTCTATGTTTCTTTGAAAGAAATACTTTCTCCAAGCCCTTCTTTGGACCGTTAAGGGATCGACTGACAATTTTCATAGTAGAATTGTTTACAGCTTTTAATAAAAGGAAACCACAGTGTCTGCTCTGGCCGTCTGTTAACCCAAACTGCACACGTCATCTGCAACAAAAACTATTTTACTCGTGCTGGATCTACACACAGAGCAAAATTCAAACACCTGGTAATGGAATCTTATCAAGGTTTTTCTTTTTTTTTTAAATTAAGGTTAGTGGTGTTTTAGCCTTTTTTCTTCAGGAATACAGGTCCTTCTCAAAAAAATTAGCATATTGTGATAAAGTTCATTGTTTCCTGAAATGTACTGATAAACAATAAACTTTCATATATTTTAGATTCATTGCACACCAACTGAAGTAGTTCGAGCCTTATTGTTTTAATATTGGTGATTTTGGCAAAAAGGTAAAGAAAAATCAAAAATCCCTATCTCAAAAAATTAGCATATCATGAAAAGGTTCTCTAAACGACTTATTAACGTAATCATCTGAATCAACAAATTAACTCTAAACACCTGCAAAAGATTCCTGAGGCTTTTAAAAACTCCCAGYCTGGTTCATTACTCAAAACCACAATCATGGGTCAGACTGTTGATCTGACTGCTGTCCAGAAGGCCATCATTGACACACTCAAAGCTAGAGGGTAAGACACACAAAGACATTTCTGAACCAATAGGCTGTTCCCAGAGTGCTGTATCAAGGCACCTCAGTGGGAAGTCTGTGGGAAGGAAAAAGTGTGGCAGAAAAAACTGCACAATGAGAAGAGTTGTCAGTCAGTGATGGTCTGGGGTGCCATGTCAGCTGCTGGTGTTGGTCCACTGGGTTTTATCAAGGGCAGGGTCAATGCAGATAGCTATCAGGAGATTTTGGAGCACTTCATGCTTCCATCTGCAGAAAAGCTTTATGGAGATGAAGATTTCCTTTTTCAGCACGACCTGGCACCTGCTCACAGTGCCAAAACCACCGGTAAATGGTTTACTGACCATGGTGTTACTGTGCTCAATTGGCCTGCCAACTCTCCTGACCTGAACCCCAGAGAGAATCTGTGGGATATTGTGAAGAGAGAGTTGACAGACACAAGACCCAACACTCTGGATGAGCTTAAGGCCGCTATCAAAGCATCCTGGGCCTCCATAACACCTCATCAGTGCCACAGGCTGATTGCCTCCATGCCACGCCGCATTGAAGCAGTCATTTCTGCAAAAGGATTCCCCACCAAGTATTGAGTGCATAACTAAGCATAATTATTTGAAGGTTGACTTTTTTTTGTATTAAAAACACTTTTCTTTTATTGGTCAGATGAAACATGCTAATTTTTGAGATAGGGATTTTTGATTTTTCTTTTTGGCCAAAATCATCAATATTAAAAYAATAAAAGGCTTGAACTACTTCAGCTGGTGTGCAAYGAATCTAAAATATATGAAAGTTTAATGTTAATCAGTACATTACAGAGAATAATGAACTTTATCTCAATATGCTAATTTTTTTGAGAAGGACCTGTAATTGAATGTAACCCTGAAGTAGAAAATTTGCAATTAGTGATACCACAACAAGCTTACTGGGGTTCTATAATAAGATTAGCCTCCCACAAGGTTTGGTGCCATAAAATCATAGGAGACGTGACGATGTTTGATGGAAACACGATTCTTAGTTGAAATATCCAACCACTGCAGCAACACGAGAATAAACTACGTTCGATGACTGATAAACATATCAGTCGGCTGTTCTGTTGCTAAGAAACAAGCACCTATCAAAACCCTGACATGGACATTTCAACGGTGCACTGGCAGCAACAAGCATGTGTAGTAGTCATCTGACACTTGGCACCAGCAGAGTGATTAAGATGACAAGACACATGATCTTGCACTTCCGTGACGTAAACAAAGCTGTCGAGGGAGAAATAACCTATCCCTTGAGTTCACGCAGTTCTCATTCTCCAGAGCTTTACTTTTAAACGTTGGAGTAAACTTCATCACAGCAAGACAAAAAGAACATCACAAAATGCACCAGAGCAGATTTATTTACATTTCAACACAAATCGTGGCCTCTACAAATGCAAAAAACAAGAAGTGACTGTAATTATAGTTCACGATTAAATTACGTCMACAGTAATGTTATTTAAAAAACAATAGAGCTGCTTAAATTATAATTATGACTGTTGTCCTTCAACAAATATTAAAGTGTAAATAATTGTCACTGTTTTTCATTGTTTGTAGCATGAAGAAAGCAGGTCTTTGTCTGTATCCCAGACCGACTGGCAACCCGACATGACCTCAAGTCTTGAGTGAAACATTTTGACACATCAGTGGCGTGAACAATCTGAATCTACTGCAAGTTTACTCAAACACAACACACAACCCATTTGTACGCTACAGCGGCAATCACAAGAACAAGTCTGTCCATTGTTCCCAGAACTGCACATCTGCACCAGTAATATCTCAATATAATCCTGCCAAATAGAAGAACAAAGCACGATGGAGATCAGAAATGACTTTTCAGCCTGTGATCTGGGTTAGGAGGAGGGTCACACAGAATAGATGACTTAGATTTACAGGATCGAACGCTGAGTAGCACGTAGCTCTGCTGACAAATGTAGCACAAATAAAAAGATTCATATTCAGATAGTTATTGAACACCACAATAAAAAGTGGGATATTATGTCTCTTTGTCTACCAAAAATGGCTATACTTCAGCCAGTTTTCCAGATACTGAGCTAAAGTTTGGTGTAGTTTAGTCTGCCTTAACCGAGCGCACCAATAGGTCGCAGGACTGTGTTTAAAATGTTGGCATATAAGACATTTCTTCAAGGAAAAATGTTGCTAAATTAGTTTCTGTTTGGAGGCATAAACTTTATTGGGTTTTAATCATTCTGCAGTGAGGCAACTGGTTGTTCATCAAACAAATACCAACTTTTACTCACACATAAGAACATACATCCGTCATGCAAACAATTTGATGGGACAACGATACACATAGATGATCAAATACAATAAATATTGTCTATGAAAACAGAAGTTGACGTTATGCTGCAGTATTGTTTAAGGGGAAGTCAGACAGGTCATTGTATTGGGTGCTTGCTAGCCTATGACAAATCCACTTGCTCTACAGCCACTTTGCACATTATTTATGCAAACAATCTAGAGCAGAGGTGTCCAAAGTGGGGCTCGCGGGCCAAAATTGGCCCGCCAAGCCATTTGATTTGGCCCACCAGCAGTTGTCCTGGTTATTAGATTGTAATCTCCTGTCCTATGTAGAAACACTATATTTCCACTTTTCAACCATTGGTCCAACTATAGTTACAGGGAGTTGAAGTCAGACAGTCTTACTCATGGTACTCACTTTATCTCTGAATTATGTTAAGATAAAACATAATATACAAGTAACTACAAGAGACATTTAGATTAGATTTAAGCACACATCTAGATTTGCACACCTTATAAGACCATTTATACTCAAATTTTAATTTATGAAAAGTCCCATGAGCTTTTGCTACCCAAGCATATGCTGAATTTTCTCCATGTCCATGGGCTGAAAAAAAATAATGTGGGCAACTGCACTGGCTGCTAGCTTATTCATAAAAATAAAACAACTTTACTTAAGAAATATTTGCATTTCATGTATTATATTACTGCATTTCGCCCGCGGCCCTCAGATTGATTTTAATTTTGTCCCTCTCAGGGAAAATGTTTTTTTTTTTATTTTGGCCCTCTCAGGGAAAATGTTTGGGCACTCCTGCTCTAGAGTCTTACTTAAAACGAACAAAAACAAAATACATGCCAAATTCTTTACAACCAAAGGAAAAATCATTTGTGGCATTACATCACAACTGTAAACATAGTTTTAGAATGTGGCAAATAAGTATCATTATTGATAAAAATACATAACTTGAACTGTTTGCATTCAACTAAAGAAACCAACCAATAAAAGTAACAGTATGTAAAATACACAGAGCATACAGGGTTTAAATGTGGTTTATTTTAGGGGACAAGTTAATATCAAGTACTAGTTGTAAAAATATAACAGGACTGCAAACAAACATTCAAAGATCCAATTAGGCTGTCCATTTCTTAGCTTTTCTTTTTAACATTAAAAAGTACATTTAGTCTTCTTTAGTCCAACCATCCGGGCCTTGAAGTCAAAAAGTTGCTTATCTGCTTAGTTTACACTGCTACATTAACAACCAGACTGTAAAGTAGCTGAGTGCTTTCGATATTGAACTAAATGTCACAGCTGGGACTCAAAATGCTAAAATCAATTGACTTCACACTGTTTCCAATGAATGCTGAAGACTGATAATATTATCTAAACGGATTTAGTGGCGTGTACAATTTTTCTGCATGGTTTTCAAAATAACAGAATATTAACAGTAAAAACAGATTGTTAAAGTTTGCCAAAACTACACCATACAAGTCAGCTATGAGGGGGTCTGACTGACTTCGACCTACACTGGGAACAATTAACTTACATCACCTTGTAGGTATGCACAGCTCACATTACACATCCTTTAGAGGTTCTGCCAAGTTACAAGGGCAACAGTCCGATTCTATTCTTTGCCACTGACTGAGGATTGGGGGATGACAGATGAATAGACAATCCCTGCGCTGTCCTTTCAGATGCAAATAAGAGAACTACAAAATGCAAAACATATGAATCCTGAGAATGTACAACATCAATAACAAATGGCTACTTTAATTACATTTTTGAACATACCATATTGTGCTCAAGCCACACACACACAAAAAAAAAATAATAATAATAATAATAATTTTTCCCCACACAAAACAGCATTGTTTTTTTTTCTGAATAATCCACTGCAAGCAATTAGCTACTTAAGAAAAAAAGCACAAACTATAATCTTTGAATCTTGCAAGCTAGATATAAAAGGCTAGATAAAAACATAGATCCATTATGACCGTTCTTCAGTTTTGAAAGCGGTCCTTTTGTTTTTCAATCCACCAACAGGACCCTTAAATTAGCTAAATCGAAAAAATTTATTTTTAAAGGTTTGCTGCTGGTGACATACTGCCTAAAAGATGCAGTGTGGTTTTAGTAAAATGAATTCTGTATCAACATACAGTATGTTTGTTTGTTTGACAGAAATACAAACCTGTTTCATTTGGCTGGTGTCAGTCAAAATCATGTGTGTGGGCTGCCAAGGTGTGTACAAAGTGGGCCAGAATTGGCATGATGTGGGCAGAGATGACTGATAAAACAACATACATTTGAAAGATTTACACACAAAAATAGCTTGTGAGCCTTAAACCATAGGTCACTTGGTTACAAACAGAACATAGTGAGTTTTTAGCAATTTTGAGTTGGAAACGGTCAAAGCCAATTGACTAACTACCCTAAGGAACCTATGTTAAAATGCTTTAATAAAAAAAAAGCTGCGCCCAAAATGAGTAGTGTCCCACATACTTAACTTTGTAGTTTTGCAACGTTAATATTTCTTATTTGTCTAAGTTTTAACAAGAACAAAGTCAAAATGAACGGTGCAGTATACTCTGGCAGCAAGGCCAGAAGTCTTCACACACACCTCCATTCCTAATCTAGATTTTTCATGAACACTTCTACTACCTAGATTCCAACACATACTCACACCCAGTTACTGAGATATAAATAAACAGCTATGTTATCGAGTGTGACCATATGGCAACTCTCTTAAGCATTTCAGGGTCACAGAGCAAAGCTTTCTTTTGGCTCATGTACATCCCATGCATGGCAGTCAGGACAGATGTGGCACCAGCGGGCAAGTTCTGCAGAATTATATTTAAATTTGTCCATCAAAGTTCAAATGTAGACAAGATCTAGAACATGTTAAACCAGATCAGGGATTAAACAAAAAATAAATATGCAAGTCTTTATACATCTCCCTATTAAGAATGGCCTTTTATGTGGTTCAGTATTTTAGTTCTGAGAAATGACACCAATGAGTCAGCACTCATTTTTAAACATGCGATTTTAATAGAATGATTTTTATCGTAAAGTCCACCATGTGGAATGCAGGATGTTTGGTAGCACTAGCTAGCTACAGACTCTTACATACCTGACAAATCCAAGACATAAAGACAATAATAATGTTGGAAAATATATTATTTACAAGCAATTTACAGTAAAGATGGCCATCCACAGCAGTACAGTAACTGCAACATGAACGGTGCATTATGAAAGTGAACCTAATGTCCTACATTTATGCACTGGCGAAGTAAAAACAGGCTAAGTGATTAATAATTTATTAACTCTTAAAATGACACAGATCACTATTAAGAAAAAAAATCCTGACTGGGATATACCTGGTAGTTATACAGAATCAGAATAGGCTTTTTTCTACTGGTTTTTATGTTTGGTTGTAAAATATGTTAATCTGATAAAAGATGAAGTGTGTAGATTTAAAAGACAGTTATTGACACAATCACAAAATGTAAATTTTGTGTATGAGGTTTCGACAGACTTGCAAGTTTGTGAGCAACTAGTAGAGTTGATTAAACCTATATACAGGAGTGAAAAGTTGTTTCAGTTGCGCAGCTGTTGTCCTCTTTACAAACATCTCTCATGCCACTAATAAGATGTCAGATCATTTTCAGTTAGATTTGATCGTGGTAAACATTGATGCCTCACGGCAATTAGATCCTGGGTTCAATACCCAGTTCAGACCTGGGCTCTTTCTGTGTAATGTTTGCATGCTAGCCCCCCACACTTCAAAAACATGCATGTTAAGGCTCCCTTTAGGCCCACACCTCACTTACAAAAGAAATCAATGGGATTTGCCTGGTTAAATAAATATTAGGGGTGTAAGAAAATATCGGTACACTGAAATATCGCGATATTTCATTTCCCGATACTGTATCGATATTCTAAAGCCCTGTATCGATTTTTTATTAAG